TTATCAAATAATTAGTAACATATATTTACAAACAAAACAACTCTGGAATGTTAGTTATTACCTTGTTAAATACCAAAGATAATAATTAGCGTTCAAAATAGGCACTTTTAACTGATACAAGTTTTAAGGCGCTTCGAAGGCACATTAATGATGATCGCGCTTCTTTCCATGGATAAATTCTCTCCCAGACAACCAATAGAACGATCTTCAGTTCAATATAATCTTTTGGTGTAGTCTTTTTGATATTTAATTAGATGAAGCTAACGATCTAGAATTTGTTTTCTTTTATTAGGTGTTAAACTTAATTCCTACCGTTTTTCGTCTCCAAAACTGATTTGTTTCGAAGGGAAGATGGATGAATACCTCAATCAAAGTAATTTCCTCCATTTTCTACTTTATTACTTATTAATAATACTTTGATTAAGATATTTCTCTTCGAAACAAATCAATTTTGGAGACGAAAAACGATGGAATTAAGTTTAACACCTAATAATACATTATTGCTTTAATAAAAAGTAACAAAACTAAAATTGCGCACTTTTTAGATAATTACAAAATCAACTCTAAAGACTTTTTGTTAAAAATACATATTTTTTATTGGAAGAACGATACGTTTGTAACTCTCAATTTATTGCTAAAACATACAAGTATCGCTTGTCGTCTGATTAAGTTCGCAATGATTGTTTATAGAACAGAGACATTTTGGAGTGATACTGTGAATGTTGTTGGTGTTAAAATAGTTATAGTAGAAAAACGTCCTATTTGGAGTCATGCTATTTTTCCTTAAAAGGCTTCCTTGAAACATTGTCCCAATTCAGAATTTAAAAAATACTCTTCTGAAAAAGTCTTACAAATTTTAAAATGTCATTTTTCTATCAAAGCAGCGAATTATTACCTAGGTAATGCAAACTGATGACATTTGTCGTCATCTTGATATCTTTAAATATCATTTTAACGGCAAACAGCGTCAACTTGTCATCTGACATGAGTAACAATTTGATAAATATATACAAAACTTTTTATGGCGGAACTTTTTTGCCACTTCGTACATCAAAGATTACCGACCGTTATTAATTGCTCTCCTTTTCTGATACCGATTGAAATTAATTTCTAATTCTTCAGAAACATCCGCCATAGAGTCGAAAATACGAGTTCCGCTTCTCCTAATTGCTGACGCGCGCGATTAACCCACATTCGCAGATATCTATCCGATACGCGATCTTTTCGTGCCCTCGAAGTCGCTCGATCTCTTTCCAACGCGTGGCGGCGGCGGCGGCCGATTCAGTTGCTTTATTTTGAAGCAGCGACCCATAAAAGCTCTCTCGCGCATTCGCGCCTCGCCGCAAAACTATTGCCCCGCCGCGGCCGGTGCAGCGCGGCAGCAGCAGCGACGGCGATAGTTCTGCCGGCGTGCAAATGCACGCTCGATACGCCGCCGTGTAAAATATAGCGCGCGATACGCTATGCGATTAGAGATCAATCGCGCCGCTTCCGCCCGAATCGCCGCCGCTTCCACTCGCAATTCGGCTCTCTTCCGGTCTACCGCAAGCTCGCGTCGCGGCGGTCGCGCGTCACTGACTTTTTCAGCGATTCATCGTCGTTTTTCGCGCGCACGTATCATCGTTTGAATGCGATGTAATTCGCGGATGCAATTTCCTAGTTTCGAAGTTCCAGATCCACGTATGACTTCTCGAATTTCTTTCCTAACTTCCGAAAAAAATGCAGACACTTGCTCTTCACGATATATCAGAATGATGGAAAGGGCTCGCTGCAAAAAAAATCATGTTAATAATTCTCTCGCGCATGATCGAGTCGCAACCAATAACATGGCGATTGTAATATTATTTGCCAATCAGTTTATATTCAAATAAAGAGCTACAGTTGGATTTAGAAAATCAACCAATAAAGGCGAAGTAACTTCACTAACTTTACTTTTATAAATTGCTTGCGTACAGCCAACAAATGTGGCGATTATTTAACATTCAGATTAAAGCCAACACGGAGAACCGATTTTTTTATTTTCTGGTTAACTTTTGGCTTAGATTTAAACTCGCTCAACTTGATAATAATGTAAAAATTGTATTTTCCTAGCTATGATTCATCACTAAACTGATGATTTGGCATAGCAGTAACTTTACATGGAAAGAACGGTTTTGTTAAAGTATCTAAAAATTTAACTAAATACAAATTTGAAAATAAATTTTATTAGACCATCAAAATAATGTGTTAAAAAAATTTATTCCGAATTTATAAAAGATATTCCCTTTTTATATTGTCTTAAATTCTTATACAGAAAAAATAATTGTGCTGAAGTATTAAAAAATTTTGTTAGATACAGATTTGCTTAGTCATCAAAATTATTACATAAGATTATTTTGATCCAGCAAAATTATTTTCAGATCTGTATCTACCTAAATTTTCATTAGATACTCCAGCAAAATCGTTCTTTCCTCGTAGATCTGTTTTTATCACTAAACTAGTGTACACTTTCTGCACTTAAAGTGAAATATAGATGTCTGAAATTGAAAAACAAAAAAAAGAGAAAGTTTCAATGCGGGAACGAAGCTTGCGGGGAAATTTTCGTCTAATGCGCAATTCAATCTTCCTCTTTAATTATTTCGAAATATTGAACCGCCGCGCGGTACATTATTATAAAATCCCAGCCGATTACCTTCCGCGCACGGCACGTTAATCAGCGTGCCGCTCTAAGCGCGCGTTAATTAGTGATTCGCGGCGATAATGCCGGCCTGCGAAAAGTTTGCAGTTGCGTCGCCGCTCCGCCCGGCCAACGGGTTAAAGAGCGTTTTATCGCGCCGGTTGTTATCGCCGGCACGTACGAAATAAATTACGGGACCGCGGGAGGCCCGTCCGGGTCGCGCGCAGCGCCAGGGTGGGATACCGGGCAACAAATAATCACGCGGCGCCGTTACTCGACCGTACCGCGGATTAAAGAGCGAAATATTCAATTACGCTCTGGCGGTCGATAATGACTGACGCGCGATACACCGCGCTCGCGGTCCAGAGCGGAATTTCCAGCGCGCAATATATTTCGACGTTGACTCGCGCGAATGTTTGTTTATCGCTGGCGTTACCTCCCGCAAAAATCACCTACGCTCGTGAAATTGTTCGCGCTCCGGGGAAGATCGATCCGCACGATTCTTTGGGCCTAGCGAATCCATAACTGATTCGGAGTTTAGTACATTGCGAGCGTACAGTTGTATTAGGTGTTGAACTTAATTCCTGCCGTTTTTCGTCTCCAAAATGGATTTGTTTCGAAGGGAAGATGAACGAATACCTTAATCAAAGTAATTTCCTCCATTTTCTACTTTATTACTTATTAATAACACTTTGTTAATAATACTTTGATCAAGGTATTTCCCTTCGAAACGAATCAATTTTGGAGACGAAAAACGACAGAAATTAAGGTCAACGCTTAATACATTATAGGCACACACAAATACACATTTCCGATTTTATATGTCTATACTGTCTCATTAATTCTCGACTATAATAACAGGTCATTTAGATCCGAAGTAAAAATTGTAGATGCGGTTGGTACGGTCTGTACGATTGGTACTATGAGATTCTAAATTGTAGGTAAAAGAACTTGGAACTTTTTCTTGTATTAATCGCCGTAAGAAAGAGGTTCACTTGCATTCTGTACTTTAAACAGGACGCTTTAGAACTTGGATATAATTTGCATATAGTTGCAGTTAGGATTAATCCTCTGTAATCGAAGTCTTTTTTGCCCAGCACAAATTTTTTTTATTGTTCTAGGGTTTCAATAAATGTGGAAAAATTTTGGGTTATTTTGTAAACATTTCCTTTACATTACCAAATATAGTTTTTTAACAAGATATTTTAGGAGAAGAAGCCAGATGCCGGCCTTAATTTCGGAGAGTGAAATTTCGTTTGCGCCAGAAAAGGCACAGGTTGCGTTTGGAGGGTCCCAACTAAAGCTAATCCATGAAAAGTTTGATTTGTATTCTCAATATGCCGTATATTCCAGAACAGCAAAAGAATTTTCACAGAATGCTCACGTATTAATGTCACGAAAATCACTCACTCATGAACATGTTAATCATCACGTGACGTTGGCCTGCATACTAGATTTGGCACCAACCCTCGCTCCGTTGAGGTAGTTCAAGAAAAAGAAAAAGAGTGAAATTATTCGCGGTAACGTGGATTGGCTGTCGCACAAAGCGAGAAGCTCGGTCTCTTCTGAACGACATGAGTTTCTGGCGCCGTGCCGTTCTCTAATATCAATGTGTCTCCGTGACTATTTGCACGTTTGCATAAAATTCAAGGATTTCAGCATGATTCATCCGCACAAACTGAGCGCGCGTTCCCCACCGTTACAACTCTTCGTTTATTGTAGAGACCCTCGAGCAAGAGTCTAGTCACGCGAGACAAATATAGCGGTAATATTTGACTCTATTGTAAAGTATATAGGTTTCCGTGAAACTTTGCATGATCCATCCTATATACTCTACAATACATAGTGATTGCCGTCATATTTCTTTCGTGAAAAGATTACTGACGCTCATTTCTACCAATGTAGATTAACTTTAATCTTTGTTCAACTTACTTTTCATCTTTTTCTAATTCTTAGAAACTAGAAAAGATGAAACTTGAATCCAGATTAAACTTAATTTACATTGATAGAAATGAGTATGAGTGTCCAAACTCTTACTTGAGAGTCTCTACTTCAGTACGTATTCGTGTCGAAAGACCAGTATTTTTTCTCTTCTACTGCTCCCTCCTGAATTTATATAGGATCCTTACATAGAAAGGCTAAAGTACCACAATTCAATTGTCGTGATTTAAGGCAGGAGCTTCCATTAAGCCAAGAGAGCATCATAAATTGTCTTACTATCTTACGTCCTTCCACAAAGGAAGCGGACTTTACTAGCGTCCAATCGACAGCTCTTCGTAACACAAAAAGACGTTTTATTTCTGAGCAGCACTTGCATCACCGGTTTCTCATTATCGTGTTTCAGGTGAGCCGCTATCTCGATGCACCAGACATCATCACGGGCAATACCACGCCAATGGACCCGGCGGTGAAGCAGCGGCTGCTTCGTCATCTCGATAGCTGCGTGTCAGAGCTTGATCTGGACCTGGGCTCGCGACCGGACAGTGGCCTGGGTAGCAGCCCGGGTAGCGTGACGGATCGCGTGGCGGGGACGACGAGCCCGGGCCCGCTGGATCACCACGTGCCGGTCGGACCGCATTGCAGCGCCGCGCTCACGCCGGCGGGTCTGATCAAGTCTGAGATCCCAGAGATGGTGGAGGCGGCACGACCCGACAGCAGCACCACCGCTGGCGACGAGAACAATAACAGCAGCCGACCGACCTCCGCCTTCAGCCAGGTGAACCCGGCGACGTTGGACCCGCATCATCCACATCATCCGTCGGGCTTGCCGGTCGATCAAGCCTCCACGTCGCAACAGAACCCCAACATGCTCTCGGTGGTGCAAGTAATACCCTCCCGATTGCCGGACGGCCAGGTGGTCTTTCTATTGCCGAGCCATTACGTGCAATTGGCAGCAGCGGCCGCGGCGAATGGCATCAGCATCGGGCCTAATCCGCCAACGGCGATCTGGGCGGCGACTAACATGTCGCTGCTAAAAGCCACCGACAAGCTGGCGAAGCGACCGCATGAAGAGATCGGCCAAGAATGGCAGGATCCTACCGGCCTCAAGCCTAGCAAGAGCCCGCGAATGGAGCAGCCAGAGCAGCCACTCGACTTCACCACCACGTCCAAGAAGATAAAGACCGCTGGTTCGAGAAACTCGGCGCATTCCGGCGTAGTCGATCACCATCATCATCTGCGGCAGCAGCAGCAAGCCCGTCTACCGACCGAGACCGGCGGTCCCATCATCCATGAGGACAGACCGTCTAGTCACGCAGATAGCGAGGTCGCCGTCGGCATGCCCTCTCCGTCACCAGTCGGCCAGCAACCGGTCAAGGATGAGGAGGGCATGTGGAGACCGTGGTAAAGATCCAAAGGCTCTTTATCTTTGTAAATAAAAGTGTATCTCGTGAAGCGCGCGTGCGAAACCGGAAGTCGTGCCGGTGCGCAGCTGCGATCGTCGTCTACTGCGGAAATCTTCCTTATGATAGCTACGATCGGGTCGTGTATATTCGATACGTATCTGGATGATCGGTCTCGGTCAAGCGAAATTAACCGTTATTATTGAGAATAATTTTGGAGACGTAAAACTGTCGTAGATTTTAGATTATTTTTAAGGTAGTGAGTCATTGAAATTTTTTAAGTCTGGATACGACAAACTTAATTTTTTTTTTCTAACTAAGAAATCGAAGATTGCAGGAAAGAAATTTCATTTGTTTTAATTAGAGACCCTATAACAGTTTGATCACAAATGATTTTGTCAAAATCCTACCAAAAGAAATATATACGTACTTGTATATATACTATCTCACTTTAATCTGTTCTATAACTTTAATTAACTCTTTGCGGCATAGAGTGAGTCACCTTTCTCTATTCAGTTTTTTGCGAATTTTACAAATTTTTTGTGATTTCAATATTCGAAGTAAATAAAACCTCTTTCCCTCGTAAGATTTTGAAAAAAAAATCGTGACCAGACTCGTGTTATAGAATCTCTTTTGATGTTGTAAAATGTTCAGTGCGGCGTGTGCGATTTCGAGGATACGTCCCTGGGCGAAAATGCGCGTACATTTCGAAAAGTGCTCCTCAATTAGCGTAATGTAATTCTCAAAAGAGTGGCGCTGCGCGCGAAGCCAAAAGTAATTAACGCGCGATATTTATTTACGTTATTATTAGAGAATTGGCAATGACACAATTTCGCGATAATACAATCCACAATCGGTGGATTGCGCCGATCGGCGAATTTTCACAGGCTCGGGAAATTAACGCGATTGGCGTTAATATCGAGAGGTATGCTAATTGGTAGGGAGGAGAGGGCACTTGAAATTACCCTTTCACGCAGCTGCAAGGTCGATGAATTTTACGTACGTCGAAACCGTAATTTATTCTTCCTTCCCCCTCCCCCCCCCCCCCCCAGATACAAATTATTTCACCGATCTCTAGATTTTCACGCTCGAGGTAGAAAACCGAGGAAAACCGCGGCTAACTTTTTTCCTCTCTTTTTTTCCCCCCTCGTCGCACCACTTGCGCTCGGCTGTGGAAATGAGTACATGGAAAAGGCGTATGCGCATTCTCGCCTAATAACTCCGGCGCGCGAGAACGCGTGACGTCAGCATTGCCGTACGCGCCGTTTCTTGCGACGGCGCTAATGAAGCCTTTAATTTGCATCGCGTCCAAAAGCGCCGCCGCCGTCGCCGCGGTCGTTAAATCCGCTGCAGCGCGTTACTCTCCCGAAAGCGGCGCTCGAACAACGGCGTTCTCGGCGCTTCGGTTGCACCGCAGCGGGATTCTCGTATCGACGAAAACGATTCCAGAACGGGGCGAATTCAACGGGGGATGAACGTAGGGAGCGAAATCGCCGGCGAAACGTGTAACGTAACGCGCCAACGTTTAACGATCTTGTAGCGTGACTCGGAAAAGATTAAGCGCCGTGTGCGTTTCCTTTTATTTCAAAGACCACCCTGCATTGCCGCGAGCGTTATTTTTAGGAACGTTCAGAAAGGCGAAGACGTATTAATCTCCGACGGCTATTCTAATTTCGTTGAACATAGCTGTGTTCCATGTGAAAATAAGCCACTTCCAGGCTTTGCCTATCTCGTCAGCTGAATATTTAATCCTTATTTTAACCCTCCGTCTGTAATCTGGGGCTTTTTTTTGGCACGAATAAAATTTCATTCTTACTTCAGCCCTTTCACACAATTTCGGCTGTTTCTTGTTGAACGGCATGACTCACTGCGTGGATCATGGTGACCATCGGGGATCACATAACGCTGAGTTCAGATTCTCACTAGAGTGTCACTCAAGTATTGCTCCATCCTTGTTGTTTATCGTACATAGATAAGGATGTTATGACACCTGGAGAGTAGCTCAGATTCCTCACCCAGGTAGGAATCTGAATACGCCTACAGGTGAATACAACTGACATGCACAGGTAGCACATATATTTTGACTATTCATTGAGTGTATTCAAAATCTGCACTAAGAAAAATTTCTTATCGAAAATGAATGAATCAGTAGATTCTGATAACAATCATTTCAGATTCGGGTATTATAATTGGACACATGGTTTTTTGATCAACTAGAATTATAACAGATTTCACTATAAAATTCTGATTTATCTGTTTTTCCACTAGAATTTCCATTAATGCAGCCAGACTTTTTGCAGTGTATAATTTACGTGACGTGTGCTATGCAATTTTAACTGGTAATAAATTTTAGAATACAGTCTTTTTTAGGTTACTGCAAAAATATTGCTGTCATCTCTTAAGAAGTGCTTGATTTTGATAGTAGTTTAGCAAAATAACGATGATCCATATCGATAATCACGCAGTCGTGAATGTGTTAAATTAAGATTTTAACATATAAGACATTGTTTAAAAAAAACTATTTTAGTGTAATAAAGATGTTGAAAAATAACTCTGAATTTTTTTGAAAGATGAAAACAGTAAAACTTAGACTGAACAAAAGAGATCCAGATTGCAGACGGACGGAATAAAAATATGATTCCAAACAGAGAATTAACTTATATTTTTGCGTATACTCCTCTGGATTGATCGAACTAATCGATCGGATCGATCTGAATCAGCTTGCGCCTCTCTCTATCGAGGAAAATTAACGGAAAACAAGTATAGGATTGAGAATCTGCGGAGCAGAAGCGACGACACGCAGCGACGCGAATGTTTCGAGGAGCGGATGCCAAAATAGAGCGAGTGCGAGACAGGATTGTAAAAAAAAAAAAAAAGCTATACGCCTAAACTTCTGCGATTTTCTCTGAGAAAACACAGCGAGGGGGCAAACTGCCGCCTCTTCTGGCGGGGCTATTCGGTCCCGTGACTTTGCGATTGTGCAAGCGACAAAAGAAATCCTTCTGACGTAGTTGCGCGTAAAAACGCGTTACAAGATAATTGTATGTATGTAAATGATGGAGTAATTTAGTTTACGATTATTAATAAAAAAGAGAGAGAGGGAGAGAAAGGACAGTGAGTGTACGTGAGAAAGAGTGAGAGTGCGTGCGTTTTAGTCCGCCATTCGTGTACATAGCCTCTCGATCGGAATTATTGCTATTTGCGAGATATAGATTTATTTTGATGTTATCTAGGTGTATATATACAGCATAAGAGAGAGAGAGGATGCGTTTGTGTGCGTGTATCTTGCGTGAATAGCGAGCGATTCGTCTGTGGAGGCGCGACCAACAAATCGCGCTCAGCGTAGCGAGGAGTCACCATCTCACCACCTAATTTACGTCTCTAATTGCTAAATATCCTGGGATTCGAATTCCTTATTCGATGTACTTAGACACGCAGTCAATATAGGCATGTATATTGAACTGTACTACCGTGCCGTGTTTTTTTATTATTCCCTGTCCAATCGATTTTCCAATCTGCGCACTGAGAAAAATTTTCGACTATAATTACGTGATGCTACAATTATGATTGTTATTGTTAGTAACAATAATTATATTTGTAGTTTTATAAAAAAAATTATACATAGTACACCGAAGATGAATATATATAATTTATAGGTATTATTATCTTAAAAATAGTTACAACTAATACAATTTGATTATAATTAATTTTTTCTCTCAGTGCAGTTTTTAAGCTTTCTAAGAGTCCTCAAGAATTCTTTCTTCTCTTGATTGTAATTTGTATATATATAGTATATTAACACTTTTTTGATTAAAAAATCTGGTTGCATTAATTGAAATGCCAGAATAATTCTTAAATTAATCACAAAGGTACAAATAAACACTTATAGTTAAAAGCATTAAACAGTAGTCAAGATAACCAGAAATTCAATTCCGATAATCCAAACTTTTATTTGATATGATCAGAACATTTTTCTCAATATCGAAACTGATTGTCATCGATCAAACGCAAGAATTGTCTGAGGTAAGTACTTAATAAACTATAACTTTTAATACGTCTGGAATTCCCTAGAATTCTTTCTTTTTTCGATTCCATTCATAATTTACACAAATGTCAACATTCTTCTACTCTAGAAAAAGAGTTGCATTAATTTAGTAGAGGTTCGACCATAAATACATAAATCACACATTAACATATAAGTAAAAAAAAGTATACCTGGAATATGTGAATATATATATTATTTATAAAACTTATTAAAATAAATAAAATTAACGTTCTTCCAAAATTCTTCGCATAATTTTGTTTCCTGTTATACTGTTCTCGCTTCTTGTCGCGGTTCTAAAACACCTAGTGGCATCGCCCAAAATTGCTCCGGGCCGATTATTATATCCTTCACTCGTTCCCTTCCTTCTTTTTTCTTTCGTCGAATAATTTGCATCACTTCGCGCGGTCGACCTTCGGCGAACGCGCCTTTCGCAGGGAAAAGGCGACGGCGGCGACGAGCGGCGGGATCGTTAATGCGATTTTTTCCCGGCCATTAAACTTTTTGCCGGGACGTCCCGGCGCGGCGCGAGCTGCCGGAGAAACCGATTACCGATCGTTAAAGTCTGCCTGTTTGCGCCCGGCGGAATGACCGTTCGCACGCCTTTCCTGCCGCGCCGCGCCGCGCCGCGCGTATAACCGTAACGTAAACGGGCGTAAAGTCCGCTTGGCAAATGAGCCAAATCCGTTTCCGCGACTGCCCGCTTACCGGAAACCGGTTTATCGGAACGCGAGATCCGGACACGTAATAAACGATAAAACGTACATCTCACGAACGTACCGCGCCTTTCGGATAAGGACGGACGCGACTTTCCCAGAACTTTAATGGCGCGGATTACCTTATTTAGAGTCGTGCCGTTCCCTAAGCAGCAAATATGCATTAGGGCACAGACACGCCCGCGTGTAATCTTATATGTTTCTCGAGTAGAGATCGCTTCCGCGTATCTTCGATAATTTCCACGTTATATCGTAGTAGCGCGTTTATCTGAACTGAAGTTCTAGGTTGCCAAGGTATTAAGGTTTAAAAAATGAAGAAATTAGGTAATTTAAATAGTCGCATCTGTGCTCTCTAAATTGCTTGGTGTGAAATTTCACTCCAAGAAATAGAGTGGCTCAATTTTTTTAATCGTTGAAACAAACGTAGCGACTGTTGTTAACACTCCAAGGCTGGGCATGTATTTGAAATACTTTTATTTGAAAAACAGTATTGGTAAGACAATTATATTTTGTATTTTGTGTTTGTTCAGAGTACATGAAAATATTTTGTATTTTGTATTTCGAATACTAACATTGATAATCAACCGCATTATTTGAATTACAAGATACAAAAAGCTTTTAATCTTGCGATTTTAAATACAAAATACATAATACTTTTATGTGAACCGCTAAAATAAAAAATACAAAATATGCTTGTATTGCAAATAGTGTGCTTTAAATAAAAGTATTTAAAATACATGTCCAACTCTGGTTAACAGTATACGAGAGACCGGAACATCATGAGTTACAAAAATACTTTTAAATATAAGTTATTTTGCCTAATTTTTTTGTACAGGTGTGTCCCAAAAATCGCAACTAAAAAATCTTTCTGATTTTTAATTCTCGTGGATTATCTACTTTATTATACCGTGAGATTCTCGCTTGAAAATTCATTCATAAAGATTTTTAAAGTCAAGAGACCTCGAGCGTTCGTAAAAAAAATATAAAGAAATTAGAGCACAGACACGTCCAAGTGTATTTTATAATTTCACATTTTCGGCTAAAGATCTTTTAACTTGTACAGCACAGAACTTGCAGCAATATTACTGCAATGTCGCTGCAAAACTCCTTGAAGGTTGCAATATTGCTGGAATGATCTGTACGGGGTATGAGAATTTTCATTACATCACGTTATGTAAAATATAATATCGAACATCGAATAAAACACCGCATTCTTCTCTTTCCGATCTTTGATCTCGTGGATTAACCATTTTACAACAACGGAATCCATAGATTCTCGCTTGAAAATTCATTCGCAGGAGATCTCAAGGTCGCTGAGGTCGCGAGCGTTTGTAGAAAATGTTCCTCATCATTTGAAGAGAAATTGGAGTGAATAGATCGAGGTCGCGTTGTGCAAGTAGAGAAAAGAGCGATTATCATTATCCGACGAGCTTACAATCGGCGTTTTTATCGCGCAATCTCCAAGCCGCAAATATACGCAATAGCTGAGCTCGGCTGGCGTGTAACGCGACGCAATCAATTTTTTGTCGCTTGGTAAATAAAATTTAACACACGTACGCGTGCACACACGCGTTCATAAGAACAGATCAATTCTAGAGCGTAGATCAAGTTACGTGATCGCACAACAATCACAGCAATTACGAGAGATCAATCGACGCCGTATGTATGCGATCATCTCGCACCAACGGAAAGAGCGTGGGAGGGAGAAAGCAAGTGAGTGAGAAAAAAAGAGACAGAGATTCGCAATATCGATCCGCACTTGGCTTCGATTGTTTCCATAAGAAACACCGAAAAAATTGTCTAATCCTTAATGATACTAGTTTATAGTAAAAAGTTACTTTGAATTGGATTAGATGTTTCTTATAAATTTTGCCAAAAACGACGCTGCAAGTCAAAAAATATCAGCACGTCAGGTTTCTAAGATAATTGAGGTTTAATGTCTGTAAAATGATTTTTTTACGATATTTGAAATTTTTTTTGTGTAAAAAAGGAAACCTGACACATGCTAGTGAAATTTAACTTGCGGCATCATTTTCAGGATCCAAAGAATCTATAAGAAATACCTTGTTTTATTCAAAGTAATTAAAACAATTTTTTTAAATATATAATATACAGTTTTTAATACACAGATGGCATTGTCTTTCTTATCTAAATTAGGAATGTTGGATGTTTTCTGCCTCTGGTTTTCTTTTATTTTGTACAGCAATATTATTATTTTAAGCATTGATATTTATTATCGTGTAATTACATTCTTGTTATTTGATTTTATTAAAGTTTAAACTTACAAAAAGAGCACTATTGCTTGATGTCTTATCTTTTCAGCTTTCTGCTGTTCTAAATTACACTACGTTCACGTTTATAAATTTATATTTAACCACTACTTGTACGTTAATAAAATTTCTTATTATTATTATTATCTATTATTATTTATATTATTTCTATTATTTTTATTATTATTTCTATTATTATTATTATCATTGTTATATTATATCTCGTTTTTTTTTTCATTTAAATTAGAAGTTTCGGATGTTTTCTGCTAATTTTTCTTTACTTCGCTTCTATCTTATTTAGATAATTCACCTAATATTGTACTTATTTGATATTATATTTTACATAATGTGATACATGAAGTGTTTCAGAATATTAAAAAAAAACACATATCGTACACTTCGGTGGAAGAAATCAATGTCCTGATATGCGTGTGGTGACGTCGAAACTTATTGTTAGCGAAAAACTATCGGTGGTTTTCACACGAAAACAAGTCAAATTTCCCCTTTTTCCCACTCATATCTCTCTCTCTCTCTCTCTCTCTCTGTTGCTCGTTCACTTACGACTTCTTCTTTCGCCTAATGTATAATATATGTAGCGCCGCAGCGCTTTTTCTTCTTCCGCAAGAGAAGGCACCGCAATGCTCCGCATTATTAATGCGCCTTATCTGCCGCGTGAAATCCGCGCAGTACACGTGCAGACGCTGTCACGTGACGTCGATCAGTCGAATTTTTATATGTCGTGAAATATTTTTGAAACGCTGAAAATTATCAAGTTCATAAAATAGTCATGCAGACGAACTTAAATTGCATCTCCGATACAAAGAAGTCTGAT